TGACTGCTGTAGCTGAACCCAGGACACGTCATCTTTGTTCTCCTGGTAGACTCCTTTCATTTGTCCAACAGCTGTTACAGAATTAGCTTTTTTCCAGCTGTCTGTCCAGGGAAATCAGCTTGGAATGTTAAAACTGGAGTAGATTGCAGGTTTTTAGAGGTCTTATCTTTGAGAGAAGCAGAGCAGTGGGTCAGAAATAAGCATTCATCATGTGTAGATACCAAAGTCTGTCTTACCTCCCATACCTTCTCTCCCCCTTACCTGTAGCTTCTCCTTTCAGATAGGTTAGATTTAAAAATCACATGGTTTGATTAAAAATAAAATTAAAATAATGAAAAAAAAAAACCGAAACAAAAATTTTGTCTTCTTTTTTTTTTTCTTTGCCTCTTATATTAGGTTTCCCAGTTTGGCTGCAGATCTTTTGCACTGCTGTTTGATGATATTGATCACAACATGTGTGCAGCAGACAAAGAAGTTTTCAGTTCTTTTGCTCATGCTCAAGTCTCGATCACGAATGAAATTTATCAATATCTAGGAGAACCAGACACATTCCTTTTCTGTCCTACAGGTAAAATGAGATGAATCCTTTAATTCAGCCTTTAAGGGGGGAGGCTATTATCTTATGGGAATCAGTATGTTAAGGAATATTTTGGGTTGTTTGAAGAAATTGACTTATAAAGAAAAGGTTGAGGTAATTCAAACATATGCAGAGATTTTGCCAGATCTACACATCTCTGAAAGGCTTAATGCCAAGCAAAGAATGGTTTGGGAAGTTTAAACTGAAATTTAAGTTAAAGGAAGATTCCTGTTTGAGTTGTACTGTAATCTTTTTGCTTCTTGATCTCGCTAGTTGTTGGTTTCTTGGAATTTGCTTAGAGTAAAGGTATAGCCCAGTCTGTGCTGACTTCTATCACTGGTACCTGACTTTAAGAGGATTACCTACTTTCACTAGTCACTGAGTTGCTTTATTTATTAAAAAATAAGATGACTTGCACTTATTCTGTCCAATAATTTCTTTTTTTAATTGCAAGCTTCCTCTAACACCCGTTAGAAAATTGTAAAGGTGCAAGAATCACTGTTCAGAGGTGTGGAGTGCTGCAAGGGAAATTCAATTCAATAGCAATGTTATCATCAGTGTTGATTTGTTTATCCCCTTGCACTGTGGTGGCTTGTTTCTGTTGCAGAACTCCTACTTAGCTTTAAAGAGACATGTTCTGGTATTACTATTTTTAAGTATTTGCATTTCATAATCAGTCTTAGGGTTTCTAGTTTTTTGCATATTGTCTGCTGTAACCTGCTCTTCTATTCACGGACTTTATTGGTTTTTTTCATTTTTATATTTGAGCAATTTGAAATAAATTATCTGCCTTTCCTTTTTGATCTTTATGCTAAGTTCATTCATCATGTGCTTTTTATTTATGCTTTAGACTTACGGGCCTTTCTTCATTAATTTTATTGATGTTTCTCTTCTCAAATGGTACTATTCTCTCAATGTGTTTGTGGGACACCTGTGTATGTCACACATGTGCATCCTTCTACTAACAGTGACATTCTCTTCTGTGTAGAATACTGTGGAACTTTCTGTTACCCAAATGTTGCCCAGTCACCATATTTACGGACTGTAGGAGAAAAGCTGCTCCCTGGCATCGAGGTGTTGTGGACAGGTAAATGTTTTCTTTGTTTTTTGTTTTGGGGTTTTTTTTTGTTTTGTTTTGTTTTGTTTTGGTTTTTTTGTTTTTTTTTAGTTCACTGTTGGTGTTAAAAAATGATTTAACTATTTAGTAAAATAAGCTGTCCAACTACTTGGGGGTTGAATTTTCAAGTGAATGCAAAGCCCTCTGATTATCCTGTTTCCCTCTTAGGTCCAAAAGTTGTATCCAAAGACATTCCAGTAGAGTCCATTGAAGAAGTTTCTAAGATCATCAGGAGAGCACCAGTTATCTGGGATAACATTCATGCTAATGACTATGATCAAAAGAGGCTTTTTCTGGGGCCTTACAAAGGTCGGTCAACTGAGCTTATACCTCGACTAAAGGGAGTTCTGACCAATCCAAACTGTGAATTTGAAGCCAATTATGTTGCTATTCACACGCTTGCAACGTGGTACAAGTCTAACATGAACGGAGTGAGAAAAGATGTGGTGATGAGTAAGTATGCGTATCTGTTTTCCAGGTTCTGTGCTTAACCATGTAAGTCATACTGCTATTTCCTCTTAATGATTTTAGCCTTTTCTCACCAGTTTTTTCTTCTCAAGATCTTTTCAAGACCTAGCATTTTCTATCCCATAAGTAAGTGGCAGTTGCCTGAAAGATAACAAGCATCTAGATTGTTTTATTGACTTCTTGGGAAGTATCTGTAGCATGTGCTATCAGAGAATTTCTGAAGTCTTGAGAGGTATCTGTGATTGTACAAAAAGCACTCTCAGCAAACCAATTTTAATGCACAAATATAAGTGTCCGTGCATTTGATTTCTTCGGAATGGAAGCAGTTCAGATCAAAAGAGAAACTGAATGAAGAGAAGCTAGAATGTCTAGTTTCTGCATAGTTTCTGTGTTGACATTGATAGTGACCATAGTTTTCTATTTTGCTTTATTAGGATGTAATGCTCTTTGTGAAGTAAGGCTGTTAGAGAGTGCTTGAATGCTTTTTAACTGATTTTAAATGAAACTTGCATGATAACTGTGGAACTTTCCTCTGTAGCTGATACTGAAGACAGTACAGTTTCTATCCAGATTAAACTGGAAAACGAGGGGAGTGATGAAGACATTGAAACGGATGTTCTCTACAGCCCACAAATGGCCTTGAAGTTGGCCTTAACAGAATGGTTACAGGAATTTGGGGTACCTCAGCAGTACAGCAGTGAGTCTGATTTGGTGTTGTTCTGGGGTTGGTAGGAAAATGGGGTTACATGTTTAGTACTTGCATTTAAGTGGGAATTAGTATACTTTTCAGTTGGAAGTATCTTCTGCCTTACTAATTAGGGAAACCTTAATAACAAAATAAGAATGCTTGACATTCTGCAGTGTGCCTGTAGTGTCCTGACTGACCAATAGAAGTGACCTTGTTGTATGAGCCTTTGGCATGCCTGATACAAGACAGGAAAGAGTCTTGATCTTGCTAGTCCCAGTTGTTACTAGACTTCCATGGTGCCTGAGTGAATAGGGTTTTGAAGTGGGTGTCAGACTATTGTAAGCATTAGTTCTGGCCCAGAAGAGTCCATATTCTTCCAGTTGTAAGATGGCTTTGTTTTTCTGAGTCTCTGTCTACAGAAACCAGCTGGGTTCCTTCCAGCATCGTATACCTTTCTTGTAGCAATGGGAGCTTGGGATCTAAGGTGAAACTGATTTTCTCAAATGTGGATTTCAGGTGGTCAAAGTGCCCTTCTCTGGTAATTGGTAGTGGAATGGAGGAACCTTTTCTCCTCCCAGCTCTGCTCTGGTGCAGTTCTCCTTTTCAACTGCTGTAGGGTTTTGAGTCTTTTTAAAACTTAACTGCAGCTAAAACATTGGGTGAGGAGTAATAATTAAGACATCATCTTCCTCCATCTTAGCAGAGTAGTTGAGGTTGGAAGTGGCCTCTTGAGACTTCCTAGTCTAAACACCTTGCTTAAACAGGGTGAGTTAGAGCAAGTTTCCCAAGACAGTGTCCAGTCAGGTTTTGAACATCTCCGTTTTCCCTAGGTTAAAGACATTTTTGCAGTTGAAATATTTAAGCAGCAATCTCTTCTTTTGAAGTGTGCTTTTATCCAAATACAACTGTAACAAGTCTGCTGATGCAGAGGAAAATTAGTTAACTTTGGGAGCTTTTTATTCTGATGGCATAGTCAGAAATGCTGCTGGCAGCACATAAATATTAACTAATTTTCCTAACTTTTCCCCCATTCTATCTTTGCTTACCAGTTATATGGAGGGGAAACCTGCAAAAACCAAAGTCGATAGTTGGAGTGACAGAAGCAAACAGGCAAAGCACTAAATGGAAGGTGCATTGATCAGATGCTGTGGCAACAGAATGATCCATGATTTGCAGAAGTTGCTGATTTGAATGTTAATTGGCAGATATGGAAAACTCTAAACTTGTTTCTTCTTGTTCTCAGGTAGGCAAGTGGCCCACAGTGGTGCTAAAACTACTGTAGGGGATGTAGGGCCTCTGGTGGCACCATCCTCTCTAAATGCAGCAACTGTAGTTACCACGGTTTACCAAGAACCTATCATGAGTCAGGGGGCAGCACTGAGCAGCGAGTCACCGGCCTTGGTAAAGGAAGAAGAGAAGAAGCAATCTGATGAGGAACCCATGGACACGGTGGTGGAAAAACAGGATGACACAGACAAGAATGCTAACCAGCTACTGACAGATATTGCTGAAGCCAAGATGTCAGAGGAATTGAAGCCAATGGATACTGATAAGGAGAGCATAGCTGAATCAAAGTCCCCCGAGATGTCCATGCAGGAAGACTCTGGTAGTGACATTGCCCCTATGCAGACTGATGAGCAAATTAACAAAGAACAGTTTGTGCCTGGGCCAAATGAAAAGCCTCTCTACACAGTAGAACCAGTGACATTAGAGGACTTGCAGCTTCTTGCTGACTTGTTTTACCTTCCTTATGAACATGGGCCCAAAGGTGCACAGATGCTGAGAGAATTCCAGTGGCTCAGAGCAAATAGCAGTGTTGTCAGTGTTAATTGCAAAGGAAAAGATGCTGAAAAAGTGAGTGTGAATCTTGTTTCTCTCATTTTAAATCAAAATCTTGAACAATGTTATCTGTTGCCTGTAATAGAGACTGGTGTTCTACTTCCTTGGACTTGGAGAGTAGCGTATAACTAACCACAGGTCAGTGATTTTCATTCCTCCAGTGGAATCTACTGTTTTAAGCCCTGTAGTGCCATTTAGCTGTGAAGGCAGTCTGGTGTCTGCATTTGACCAGGGATCCCTGTACGTCTCACTTCTAACAGCCATAGAGAATATCCGTGAGTCATATGTGTGGGTAGTCCTTGCTGGTAAAATGAAGTTATGAACTCTATAGTCTTCCTCCATACTTCAGGGTATCTCTTCTCCCTAGAAGACTGTATTTGATCTTGTGGATCTTTTGCCTCCATTCATAGATAGAAGAATGGCGTAACCGAGCAGCCAAATTTGAAGAGATGTGCAGCTTGGTGATGGGGATGTTCACTCGCCTCTCCAATTGTGCCAACAGGACAATCCTTTATGATATGTACTCCTACGTCTGGGATATCAAGAGTATTATGTCAATGGTGAAATCTTTTGTGCAGTGGTTAGGTAGGTGCATTGGGAGCCATTATAATCCCAGATAGTGTATTTTTTGTTTTGGTTTTTTTTTTTTTAATTAGCCCACGGGGAAAACAAAATATCAGGCAAATGTGTTTTCTTGGATGTGGGGTCTGCTCTGACCCTGCTTTAAAGGTTTTCCTGTCTCACTATTTGAAGCAATGCTTGCCACGAATTTGCTTTGGTATTGTAAGTGAAGTCTACTGGATGCTTAAGGTTGGAGACCTTGATTTTCTTCTTGGGCTAATGAAACTTGAATCTCATCTGACACGTAAGTGTTGACTTTAACTTACTCTTGACTGAATGCACACTGGACTGTGCCACTCCTTGGATACCCTCTATATGATTGGAAAATGACACTACGAAATGTGACCACATCAGCCATCTGCTGCTTGCTCTGTCTTCATCACATTATTGCTGTCTTCAACAGAACAATTGCAGAAGCAACCTTTCAATGGGCCTGGCCCAGAGGAAGCTGATCCTCCCAGCCCTGTGCGCATGCGAGCATTAGCAGAAGGCTATTCTGGTGCAAAAGAATTTCCTTTAAATATTTTCCAAATTGCTGATTTTTTCTTTTTTTTTTTTCCTTTTTTTTTTTTCCTTTTGTTTGGTTTTTTTTCCTTTCGTTTGGTTTTTTCTTTTTTTTTTTTTTTTTTTTTCTCTCTCTCAATGAGTGGAAATTGTGGAGCTCTCTGGACAGATTTAGTCTGAGACTTAAACTGATCTCCAAACAGGTTTGGTTTTGTTTTGGTTTTTTTTGTTTTGATTTTTAATGTGTGACTTTTTGGTTTTGGATTTTTGTTTGGTTTGGATTTTTTTGTTTGTTTGTTTTGGGGGATTTGGTTTTTCGGGTTTTTTTTTTGTTTTCCTGAAGATTTCTGGGGGATTCTAAGTTGGCAGATAGCACCAGCATGGCCTGGGTAGTTGTAGTGACTTCATTTCACTTTCAGGTTTCAATCCAACTGTAAGGAATATGCTGTGGACTTGCTTGACATACACAGCAGGCAGCATAAAGCTGGTGGTCTCAAGTCACACTTTTTGTAGATGTCACAAAGCTCACAGTGGTTAACCATTACACAACCTTGGTCCTGTCCTAGTGTTTGGATTGTCTTTAAATTATATTCGTAAACGCTCTCAGGTTAAGCAGGGACAGAGAGGACCTGTCAAGTTAGTCTGTGCACAGCAACTTCCCATGTTTTGTGCTTTTAAAATATCTGATCCCTATATATTTTGTTGATGAAGAAGAGCTTTTAAGACTGGCTTCTGCAAAGCACAGAGAAGAAAACTAGCTTGGGAGGAAAAGTCAGCAGCATTGTTGTATGTTAACATCTCTGCCTAATGCTGTTTAAAAGCTTTAAGTTTGTACATTTATAAAAGCAGTGTAACACAACGTCCCCAGCTTGACTATTCTTGCTGTATATTGACCTTTAGCTGGAAAGAATGCCTTCTTTTTGATAAGTTAATGTCTAAAACTCCAGGCCAAAGCTCTGTAAAGCCAAGTGTTTTTTTGTAATCTCTAAACATTGAGGGCCCTATTTAAGACTGCATTTCGGAATTATCAAACTACTGATTAGAGTGAAAATTCTCTTTATTTTTGAGTGTCCCTCTAACGTTAGGTTCGACTTATAAATGCATCAAATATTTGGAGTAGTTCATCTTAGAAGCCATCTCTGTAAATATTCGCTCTGTTAACTTTGACACTGTTCTGTTCCAGTACTCAAACTGGTATTAGTTTAATTTTAAGAGTTCTTCACATATGAAGTTTAGTACTTTTACGCTAACAGTGCTTCTGTGAGAGGGGATGTTTTTGTCTTCAGCTTGCATTTTATCACTAGCGTAAATACACATAAAGCAAAGATCCTTGATTAAGTACATCATTCTATGAAGCTGAGTATGTTGCAAATCCAAACAAATTAGTTTTCACTAATGGTGTGCTCAATGGTCCACTGAATGTTCACTTTCTTCACCTCTCCTCCTAAGTCCAGCTAGCATTCAGTCCCTTAAATTAGTGTGGCTGTACAGTACTATGGATTACTAATGACTTCTATTGTCTTCTTCCCCATTGTGTACAGATGGGAGAATCCTCAGCACAAGTTTCTACTGCTATTGGATGGACAGCGCCAGATGTTCACAGCGCGTCGTCATTAATTAATTAAAATGGAAAGGTTTTGTCTGTGAGGCAGCTCAGATAGATTAGATGTGCAGTAGGCATGAACTGAAGTCACATTTGCGCAGCGACTAAGGCATTAACTATGTTTTTCATTTATACAGCTCTTCATTCACACAGCTCTTTATTGTAATCATTGGAAGTGCTAGTTAAGTTGTAGTCTCAAAGGACAGACAGATCCTGTCTTCCAAGTTATTGACTAAATCTCCTTGAGAAGGGGATCTTTCTACATGAGAATTCTAAAATGTGAGAGTAAACCAAATTCACGTTCTGAAGCTTGGATTGTTTCTGAAATTTACCATACTTTAGGGTAGTTTGCATTTAATGTATATTCCTAAACTCTCATAAATGTCAAACTTGGCACACTTTGGGACTCTCTGACTAGCACAACATACTTGTCTGTACTGATCTGAGACTGTTACTTGAACAGGAGGTAGATTGCTGTCCACGAAAGGAAAAGAGTATTTGTGCTGCTCATCTTGTCAGAAAACTGGGTGGGTAGTTGAAATCTCCACTTCAGATACCACATTTGGTTTTGGTTTGTTGTTTTTTTTTTTTTCCCCCTCAGAGTTGTCATTTATGTTAGTTGGTGAAGGCTGTGGTGCCTTGCTGGCAAAACACTATTAAAAGCCAAGCAACTACTGGAAGTTTCTTTTCTAAAGCAAGCATAAGCTAAAGCTGGGCCCGCTGTGGCTGGTTGATCAGTCTGATATGCTTGAGGTGTCTGATATGCTTGAGGAAGTAAAAAATGAACAGGCTAAAAAGCAAAGCTGATATTACCTGTAGCCAGCAGGGTGTACTGGTTAAAATGTGAGTTAACTCCAGTTAACACTACATAGCTTTTTAATGTGCCAGCAGCATTGTGAAGGTACAGCCTGGATTATGTAAATCTGTATAGTCTCTTGCAAAAATACTGTTTCTGGCTGCCTGAACTGTTCCAGGCTGTTTTGCATACATTGCCAGTCCTAGTTTTCTGACAAGATTAGAAACAATAATTATTAAAATGTGACTTCAGAAAGGTCCATTTTTTTTTTTTTTAAGGGGCTGTGATAATGGTATTTGTTTGATCTAAAATTTAGGCTAGTGGCTATTGAGCCATGTAGCTTCCAAGATGTCATCTTTTCATAGGTGAAATGGATGTTTCTGCTACAAATATATATTGAAAAAAAAAAAAAAAAGGATGTATACAAAACATCTGGGAAGCTTATATAATTGTGCATGGCACCGTTCCTGTGCCTTCTGGTCTAGAATGAGGTGTGTGAGCTGAATCACCTCACCTGCTCTTAGACTGGTTTGTTGTGGGTAATCACAAATTTGGGATACTTCAATTAGTGCACAAGCACAAAATCTTTATAAAATCTTCCATTATTACAGCCTCCCCCCAAGCCCTGGATTCTAGCTCAGTTAGAGAGCTTTTTCCACAAGTGTGTGTTGGCTTTTTGGACATGTTAGACACCCAGGAAATCCCCCTTCTCGTAACGTTCTCCGCTTGGATCTGATCTCAACAGGGTGTCGTAGTCAATCTTCAGCACAGTTCTTAAGTGGAGACCAAGAACCCTGGGCCTTTAGAGGTGGTCTAGCAGGAGAGTTCCAGGTATCAATATGACTTCACAACTGAATGACATTTTCTTTGTTTTATGAGAAACCTTTTGTTGCACATCAGAGGTCTGGAAGGATTGGTCTGCCGAAGGCTTTCTGGTCCAAAGCCCATTAGCCTTACAGCTTGGTTTAAAATAATTTTCCTCCCCTCTCTACAGTAATTTCTCAAGGAGATGCTGCCTGTCCCACGCGCATGCGAAGCGCAGCGGCTTTAGTTGGACATTTCACATTGTTTCTTTGCAGGTCGCACAGCATTTTTACCTGCGCCCGCAATTGCACAATGCGCGCATGCTTGTCTGCCGATGGGAATTCCATGAGCAAAATCGATAGTCATCCAAATTCTGGTTCCTCTCCAAATAAAGCTCTAACGCGTTTTGTTGCAAGGATTTCAATTGGCACATAGTTCTTAAACTGCTGTTTATACCATGTTCAAGTTTGTTCATGGATTTTTCTGGCGCTCTACTTTTCCCCCCTCACAGGTGCTCTGCGCGCAGCAAATTGAGTCAGCGCATTGCTTTTGGGATAAAGTGTCTCCTCTGGCCAGTTAACCCTCTTCAGACCAAACCTTTCCTCCTGACATTCTATGTTCTTGTACAGAGACAGTGTAGATATGATTGGTAAAAAGTATTTTAAAGCAGATAAGATTAACAGACTCTTAATGTGCTGTTTCAATTGCATATTTTAAAACACCCAATTGGATATTTCCTATTCAAATAAGGTCTTTGCATTTGTAAAGCATACCAACCCCACCTTCCTTTGGGGTGCCTGCAAGTAACAAATGTTAATTTGGGAGTCTGCAGTGCACACCCAAGAGTGATTGGTTTTGCTGTTCATGCAGTCATATTAAGTATTTTGTTTTCACAGCGTTTGCTGCCTATTGATGGGGCAAATGACCTCTTTTTTCAACCACCTCCATTAACACCCACTTCCAAAGTGTACACCATACGACCCTACTTTCCTAAAGATGAGGTAACTGCTTTTGACACTTCTCACTAGTGTTAGTGATGTGTTTCCTTTTGTGGAGTGACTAGAGTCACTCCACCCCTTAATGAAATTGTGGTGTAGTTTCATTCCTGTTATCTTAGCAAGAAGAATGCTTGAAAGTGATGTATTAACCAAGAGTCAGTTAACACTCTTTATGGATGCAGTTTAAACAATGTAAGAATTGACGGAGCTTGAACTTTTGCTTTTGTAGCTACACTGAAACGAAACATGTTTCCTTTGAAACGTAAGTGTATAGGTTGAATTTGCAGCTGCTCAAATAAACTCTGAAGCCAATCAAACAGACAGGGCTCACATGAAGACATTAGCTTTACCTGCCACTTTTAGGCTAGTTCTGTCCTGTGCTGTTCTCACAAGCAATAACACAACCTTTTCCATACCCTGGATCAGGACAGTACATGAGCTGGTTTGTTCATTTGTAGGCATTAGCATTGATACTTCTAAGCTACCTAAACAGTTGGTGATGCAGAGAGGTGTCAAATGCAAAGCCTTTCTGATTAAAAGTGTCAAGTTTTTTCTTATGTAAAGTGTGAGTGATACAAGTTTACTCTTTAAAGAGATTCAGCTGAAGGCCTTTTAAAGTCAGGGTGTGTCTGTCTTCACAGTGGTTAAATTGTTGCACTTGAGCATTGGAGGTTTTGAAAATGGACTTTGTAGTGAGGGTATTGATCCTCAGTGAGTGTGTGGTAGCTAACCCTGGAGGGGTAAGCTTGTGTTCTTACAACTGGTGGGAGGTTAATCTCCAGTCTTTCCTTCCCAGCCGTTCAACTTGGCCACACTGGTTTTGACAGGCAACTTTTAAGAGTTACTTCTGGGGAGGTGGGGAAGATAGATCCCTTCTCATAGATGGATACTCTTATTCTGTGTAATTTAAATGCCTGATAGTGCTGCTTTACAGTGGAGCTGTTAGTGAAATCTTTCTAAAACAAAGTTGTTAAGTTTTTGAATGTGATTGATACTTGAAATAATCTCTTCTCTCCTCTTAGGCGTCTGTATATAAGATCTGCAGAGAAATGTATGCTGATGGAGCTGATCAACCCTTCCATAGTTTACCAGATTTAATTGGAGACAAGTATGTATTAGGAATGAATGACCTACAGAGGTGGTTCTGAAGGATGAAGTCCTGGCACTATTTAATTTGAATTTTTAAAAGTGGAAGGGGGGGAGAGAATGCAAATAACATCTGATTTTAAAATAAATAAGTTTAAAATCTGCCATCTGCAGGCCTTAGGAAATTGGGATTTTGGTTACTTAAAAGATGCCATTGACAGTTATATCTCAGTTCATGCTCTGGTCACCTTTTGTGAGCTGCTAGAAAAAAGCCTCAGCTAAAACCTCTGTATTATGAAACCTGTGCATCATTGTATCCTAATTTTTTTCAGACTTTGTGAAAGTATATCATGAGAGTTCTCATAGTCTGGTATTTATTTTCCAACCTAGTATAGTTGTTCAGATAACTGAAAATTTTTTGAAGGCCAGTCTCCCAGCTGACTTCCTTGATTATTTTTTTTGTTTGTTTCTGGTATACATCTTACAGACTACTTCTACCAACTTTAAAAAAGAATAAGCAATGACAAGTGAGATGAAGTTAAAAAAAAAAAGGGGGTATTAAATCTGAGCTGTAAAATGAGTTATTCTGAATGAGGGATTTTTTTTAATGTCTCAAGTGTATGACTTAGATGTGATTTGGTAGAGAGGCTGCTCTGTGAGTGACAGGAAGATAGCTAAGGAAGGATGTGTGACTGGTATCAAAACATACCCAACAGAGACGGTGGAAGAACAAGGAGGTAATGACAGCAGAGAAGGGTGAAGGAGGCTTGTGTCTCTGGTGAGTCAGAAGAGCAGTGTGTATGGAATTAAATTGTGGGAACCTGAGGTGCAGATGTTGCTCATAGCTGAGTTTTGACAGCCCATCAGTATGTTAATTTATGCTTTGTAGGAACTAATTTTGTGATTGGAGGACTCTTGACACTTCTGGTTTTGACTCTAGAGTCTTCTCCAGAGTACCCAAAGAGCACATTTGTTCGAAGTGGCCTTCTTTTGACTGAGTTTGGATACTTCTTTCTACAGGTTGGTAGGAGGTCTGCTCACCCTCAGCCTGGATTACTGCTTTGTCTTAGAAGATGAGGATGGCATATGTGGCTATGCTTTGGGAACAGTTGATGTGACTCCTTTCATTAAAAAATGCAAAATGTCTTGGATCCCTTTCATGCAAGAAAAATATACTAAACCAAATAGTGACAAGGAGCTGTCTGAGGCAGAGGTTAGTATAAACCATAAGATCAGTTCTTTCCAAAGCAGGTCTTTATTTTTCTTTTGCATTTTGAGTTTGCATGTAATGATTTCTTTTGTAATTTTCTGAAGTCTTTGAGCATGATATTGGGCATTTTTGAAGGTGACTGTAAAATTCAGATTTTGAAGCAAAGTTAGTGCAATAAAAAATATCAGAAGCTAAATACTGCAAAGCTGTAGTAGGTACAGTAAAAGAGAAAGGGCCTTAGTTTCCCGAAGTTTAAAGCCAAACATCAGAGAGAAATCGGGAGGGATTTGTGCTGATAAACTAGCTTTTCCATTGAGAGGCTTAAGAACACTTTTTGCTGTTGAGATAGATGCTGTGGGATTTTATCCATTTAGCTTTTAAATAAAGACAAATGAAAGTGGAAAGCTAGATCATGATTAAATGTCTGCTTCCCTGATTCTTTTCAGAAAATAATGCTAAGTTTTCATGAAGAGCAAGAAGTATTGCCAGAATCGTTCCTTGCCAACTTCCCATCATTGATAAAGATTGATATCCACAAAAAAGTGACAGATCCAAGTGTGGCTAAAAGTATGATGGCATGCCTGCTCTCTTCTCTAAAGGCTAATGGTAAGCATCTTGCACTCAAAATTCCTTGTTTCCTAAGTATATGTTAGTTCTAGGATGCAAGACAAACTTGGGTGGTTTTATTAACATACTGTATTTGCATATCAGCCTGAGAGATTCGGTTCCTGATACTCTAGGTGAATAATTACAAAAGCTTTTTGGATAGCTAACTGCTACTGCTGTCCTTGATAAAAAGTAGCTTTTCACTTTAGCCATTATCCTGCAAATTAGAAAATAGGAAGAACCGAGGGAGCAATTTGGCAATGGGAGCACACATTTCTACATCTTGAACAATGCACAAATGTTTCTAGTTCCCCTCCTGGCACTGGTAATGATGCTTTTTCTTTTGTGCAGCAGCATGCGCTGGTGGGTAATTACCAAAACCTTCAATATGGGGAAGTACTTGGGCTGTCTGCCTGCCTGTGCACCTGAGATTCACGGCTCCTTTGTGTACTTTGGTGCTGTTTTCTGAGCCAACATCAGAGTTTCAGGATGCTTTCATGTGAAATAAAAGGTGTGCAGAGGGTTCATTCAGACTGACAAGACATCTGCAGTGTGCAGTTCTGAAAGGGAGTGGTCAGCTATGTTGCCGTAAATCTGATCCCTAGGGCACTGTGCTTCATATAAGATTGGATCAGTGATTTCATTGGGTTTAAATGTTAAAATAGGTGGGAACTCCAGTAATATCTGATGTCTGTGCTTGTTACAGTAACTTCTATGGTGTTTTGTTTCTTTCTTCCTCCTTCAGGCTCCCGTGGGGCTTTCTGTGAAGTGAGACCAGATGATAAAAGAATCCTGGAATTCTACAGCAAGCTGGGTTGTTTTGAAATTGCTAAAATGGAAGGATTTCCAAAGGATGTTGTTATCCTTGGAAGAAGCCTGTGAAGTGCTTGACAGTGCACTGTTCCAGTACTGTAGTCCCTTAAACAGCTGGGCAGGTAGTGGTGGGGATCTTCATATGGTCTAGCTGCACAAAGCCAGGAATAAGCCAGCTTGGTAGAAGGGGCTATGCGAAAATCACCCATCACACATTCAGACTGTAAGTTGGTGGAAGGGGATAATGCTGCTGAAAACACTGTTTTAACAAAGAAACCTTGTCCTCTTCTGGTCCTGTGTGAAGTGCCAAGGAATCTTGCATGGGCTATAGCTTCTCGGAGGAATCCCTCTCAGTCAGTCCTGTGGTTGGTGACAGTTCTCTGCACTCACGTGTTGACAGAAAAGTGGTCTCTGGCAGAAGTACCTGTAAAGGTGCAGCTTGTTTCTCTGTCATAGAGCGGGATGTGCAGCTGGAAGTTGCACGAAGGGGAGGGATTGCCTGTGTCAATCAGCAAATTTAAAGATAAGTAGCTACAGTTCTATTTTTGACTATCTTTATGCTTGTTGATAAAGCAATGACCCGTTGTCACTTCTAATGACCATTGGTTCAAGCTTTGTGCTTTGTTAGGGACAAATGTGCAGAGGTCTGTGGCAGAAGTCACTTAATGACAACATTGTAAACTTCAGTGTATATAAACTTAGCCGTATGCTGACTAACTTTTTGTTTACCAGTTTTTGTAACTTTTTCTTTTGAAAAGTTAAATGGTATAGGTCCAAGATGGCACTTTTCAATAACCTAAAACCACAATGGAGAACGAATCTGTCCTTGGCACTGACCTTTCTTACTGTGCCTTGTGTCCAGGGCTAGGAACTGACCATCTTGGGTAAGGGGGGCGGGTCCCGAATGATCCTTCCTTCAGACAGCAGTTTGTCACTGTGTGAGGTTATCATTCTTTTGGGACTGAAACAGCAATTCACAGGGGGGGTTAGGTAACATTCACATGGGATTGTGGTGAAAGACAGTGAGAGGGAGAGAGCTGGCCCGCAGCTGAGACTTGTCCTTGGAACAGTCGCCACGTTTCAAAGCTTGTTCATACCAGTTGGATTAAATCAGGGTCTTTGAGTCCTGCACATTTGTATCAAATAACTTTTCTATAAGAAATGCCACAATAAGCACATTTTTACACATTATTTAAATGGTTTCCTACTTTTAAATGTTCCAAGAGTTTAATGTTTTTACCCAGGACTGACATGTTTGGTTATGGGATGGAATCAGCGTGGTATGGGATCTAGTAGTGAGGTAGTTGCATCATTTATGAAATTGGTATTTCACACAAGTTCCAGTGGCCCAGATGTGCAATTGGCCAATGGTATGCAGCTTGTGGTACCTTGCTTCTTTCACCTGCTGCCATCAGCTGTTTTTCTCTTCCTTTTTAATTTTCCTGGGGTTTTTTTTCAGTGGTGCACAGAAGTTCAGTTCTTTTTACGAGCCTCCAGCTGCATAGAAGTTACACAACCTATAATGAACGGCATTAAGACTGCAGTAATGTTGTCTGCGACCTGTGAGGAGATACTGTGTTTGGCCTTCTGGTGCAGTCATATACAGGATGGTTTTGTTTTTTTCGGTTGGCTGTTGGGTTTTTTTTTCTCTTTTGCAGAATGTGAACTATATATATATATTTTTTTTTTTGAATGCGGCAGCAAAATATTTAAGTTGAAACAAGGTCATTTCATTTTTTAGAGAGAGGTACGGAGTTGTGCTATGGGATTTCATGTAAGTCAGAGCTGAATGCCACTAGTTTTTATACAGCTTTGAGTGCACGTTGAGTAGCTGACGCCTTGGTTTATCAGGAGGGAGAGTTTTGTTTCTTCATGGATACCAGAGTCAACTTACTTTATCTGGATGCATAAAATTACAGCATAGGATTCTTGTGGCCTTATTTCTTGGCTTTTAAGGAGTTGCCACATTTTCTCTTCCTATGACTTTGTTATTATTATAGAAGTTAACTGTATAAGCCTATGGAATGTCAGGCCAATACCATCATTCTAGGATTGTAAAGTGATATGTTGACATATCTTTCATGGTTACGAATTTTCATTAAGGTTGGAATGCCACTTTCATTAATCTGTTTTTAGATCAACAGTATCTGTAGCAGAAAAAAAAGACCTGTAAAACTGTATTTGAAGACCGTGCGAGAAATAGAATAAAAATTGAGAAGTGAATGTAAATAAGAAAATATTTGTTTTGTGTGTGAGGTCCCAGAACCAGAAGTGGTTTGGCAATGTGTGTTATATCATGTCATGTCTGTTGGATGACCTCAGGATCAGCTGGCAAAGAACCCTGTCTCTGGTTTTGGTAGTAGCAGTGTGTTCCATGGTAGGCTCTTACCTGTGCTGGTGCTTTTCAGGGGCAGGTATTTGATGAACCTTCAGAAGTACCCATCCCAAAGATTTTCGGGTGGCAGTGACATTTGTGGTTGGCCCTTCTGTGAGTAGGGCCAGTTGAACTTCACCTGTTTGGAGGGAAAAAAAAAAAAAGGCAGTTCTTTTAAAGGTGGCTTCCAGTGTCTGGCAAAAGCAGAGTGTGGCAGCAGTGCTTATGTGTCCCTTTCCTCATTGCTATTTGTCTTGCTGGCTGCTGAAGCCCAGAGGAACCTGCCCACAGAAACATGGGGAGAGGTGAAGTGACTTGAGGGTTATGCTGTGTGCAGAGGGCAAACATCAAAGTTCCACAGTCTGGCCTTGGTTGTACATCCACACAATTTATGTGGGGAAGCTCCTGAGACACCTGCAGCGAGTAGCTTCCTGTGTAAAGTTGACAGCCAGGCAGGAGGGCTGGGTCAGGGGTATGAAAAGCTGTGTTTTTGTAAGGTCAGCTCACAAGTGTTCATCTACCTGCTGTAGAAGAGCAGTTTATACAGTTCAAAAGCGGTACATGCCAACTGAGCAGAGAAATCAGCAGTTAAAAACATCTCCTAACCCAGTATATGTGTACCATGTTAAAATGATAGTTGTTCTTCACAAATTCATCATGTGTTGCATGTAGGTATCTTTGTTTCTTGAAGCCTGTTTCTCAAAGTTACAGCAGAAATGGCAGTGTCACTTGGCCTGTGTCAAACAAAGGATTGGATTTTGCTGTTGCACCAGAAACTTTCCCAATAAAGGGAGTAGGAGGCAGAAATGAGCTCTCTTGCCTGCATCATGGGCCACTAGCCCGATGGCAGCAGAGAGCAACTACTGTAGAAGCAAACGAGCACACTTGTATAACCCTTGCTGAGCAAGCACTCGCATTTTTGCCTTTTTCTGGCACTGGTTTTGGATTTTCAAACCTCTTCAACCGTGTTTTTCTTGAACCAACTCCAGCTGGAGCAGAGCAAAGTGGTGGCTGGTGGAGGTCTCCTCTGCAGCAGGAGCAGAGCAAGCTCCTGACTGAGAGCATGATGCAAGTTCATCGTTAGCAGGGTTTGATTTAATTCACCTGCTCCCTCCCTACACCCCTGCAGCACAGCCCAGGCATCTGCTCCCTGTGGTATGTCTTGAAGCAGGATCTTGCCTCTGTGCTCAAGGGCTCCTGCACCACAGTCCCTGGTGCCAGATCTTGCTGCTCTTGCCCTCACCCAGGCTTAAAGATAGAGATGGGCAGATCCCTCTGTTATGCCCCTGCCTCGCTCCCTGTTCTCATTCTAGACCTCTGCTACCTGTCTTCAGGCCCCTCCTCTGTCTACTCCCACTCTCTGGGAAAACTGGTGCCCTGGAGCCAGGATGGTGACCATGAGAAGGGCAATAGGTGGGCAGCTGCTAGTAAGGGCCACTCTTCCATTCTGCCATTTCCATAGCCAGCAGTGTGGTCAGAAAATGCTTTGGCTGAAGGCCCAGGATCGGCTGTTAAAGGATGTGGTGAATGTCTTTCATCTCCTGGGTGGCTTTTGGGCTGTTCACCCTCTTCACAAAGACACCCTCTCACAAAGACCCCCTCCCTCACAAATACAGCCCCTGTCTCTCCTTCCACCATTCCCCCACCTGCCTGCCTCCCAGAAAATCCTTCCGATGAAAGTGGCCAGTTAGCAGGAAAAGTCATTAGGATCGTGCTAGGTTAATAACCGTTACATTTTTATAGCAGGGAAATAAAACGCTCTAACTGTGGCATTTCACCGAATACCCCAGTAC